GCTCGGCGGCGCGCCCTAGCGGGGGAGCGGCTCGGTGTCTCTGGCTCGGCGGGGCGCCCTAGCGGGGGAGCCGCTCGGTGTCTCTGGCTCGGCGGAGACTGAGATGAGTGAGTGAAGGAATCAATGATTGAATTGAAGAGCTGGTCTAGAGCAATGCCCTGAAGTACAGTACAATGATACCCTGCCTGATTTCTCCGAGAATTGTCTTGCAGTCAATCAGCTATGTTTTGCTTAACATACAAATGGGGTGAAGTATATGTCCCATTAAAGCAGTACACAACGGCCATCGATCTGGACGTATTCAGTTCACTCTGCTCCGCGACATCAGCATGTTGTCAGCCAGTGTTCCTCCAGGGCTGGACAGCCTTTCCAGAGCTGTAGGACTGTTATCCTTTGGTCATGAGCGCTCTCTGGGTGAAGTCCGTGCCTGGCCGGTCAGTTCGGGGAAGTGTCCGGTGACCAGGATAGAGGCCTCCTGCTCCTTGGAAGGTGGAGCATGCGTCAGTCCGCCAGTCGGCGGTCCCGCGGTCGGTAAGAGGTGGGGGTGCTCGTTGTGCTCCGGACTGGGGGCTGCGTGTCTGTTCTGTCCAGCTCCCTTTTGTGCTGCAGGGTCCGGGCCCGCGGCCCGTTCTGTGTGGCGGTCCCGGCGCCGCCGTGGCCATGGCGTCGTCCCGCACGTCCCGGGACCCCTCCTGCTCCGCCGCGTCGCTGGCAGGCGGCAGGTGGGTATTGAAATGGCGGCCTGCTCTCCTCTGGGACTGCTGGGGGAAATGGGGCCCACTCTGCCCCAGAAAGGAGCCCATGAGCCTGGCAGAGCCCACGGACCTCGGCCTGCAGGGCCTGTTCCTGGGCTGGGGGCGCGGAGGATCCAGAGGAAGTGGGATATCCTTGAGTAGTTCCCTTCCCTGATGTACACGCACAGGCGCACAAGTGTACACACTCCCAGCACGTTGGCACAGGCCTTGCACAGTGCACAACACCAAGCGGCTTTGTGAGGTGGCGTTTGAACACACACACACACACACACACACACACACTGCGGCTGCTCATTTTAATTTGGCGGGACTCTGTTGCCCTCCCCTCGCCTCCCAGCCCCCTGTTTTGCGCCGTGGGTCAGTCTTGAGCGCGTTCCTCTGCGGCCCTCGGCCCCAGCTGGTGGTGGCGGAACAAGGCAGGGTGGGTTAGGAGGGGAATTCCTGTGCTCCGACACATCTGGCCAGCTGTCTGGGTGGGAGCGCACTGCCGCCTCCCTCGCATTCCACCGCCAGCAGCGGTGTGATCGGTCTCTTCAAAGCGTCGGTGTGACGTGGTCGGTCTAATTCAGGCTGCGAGAAAGCGTTCAGGCAGAGTCGGTGCACATGATGGTGCCCGAAGGAGACGGGACCCCCGAGCAGAGCTGCTCTCGCCCTCCTGGGAGAGGGCAGGTGGGGGGCTTTGCCCGCAGTCTCTCCTCGCTCCCATTGGCTGTTGAAGTTTTAGCTGTCCGCTCCACGGGTGTTTCGTAGAGCTTAGGGATTCCTGTTTAGAGGCTGAGCTCCTGGCAGCAGATGGGCACGCTTTGTATGCCCTGAGGTTCTGGGGTTCCTCTAGCTGCCCGTTCAGTGGGGTAATCTGTGATCCTTGACTGCCTGGACTCTTGACCCTTGCTGCATGCGTTGCCTGTGGTTAAATATCCCTGCGGCTTCATCCAGTGCTTCCTGGGAACCGTGACCGGTGTCGCGCTCGGGGGTTGCTGGAATCGCACCTACAGGAAGTGACTTTTCGCTTGTTTCCGGCGTCGCCGTCTGTCTGCGGCGACACTCGAAACCCACGCCCTGCTGTGTCAGAGTGACCCCCCCACCAATCCCAGTTTCCCAACACTTCCAAAGGTCGTGTTTGACAAGTGGGATAGCTTTTGCTTTGCCGTTGCCCCGCGTCTCCGCGGCGCTCTGCGCTCTCGGTTCAGGCGGCGGCCGAAATCCGACTCTGCGGGGAGCCGCTCTGGAAGGGCGCGACTGTCCTCTGCTCCGGTTTGTTTTTCGGAGAAGCCTCATTATTTTTAGCAGGGAGGCACTATTCTGTCCGGACCTGCTGAGGAAGCAGCAGGCAGTGTCCTGGACTCTGTTCCCCAAGGTTATCCGGCTATTTCAGTCTGTTCCGAGGTCTGGCCCGGGCCTGCGTTCCTGGAGGGATTTGGGAGTCCATGTGCTTTTTGTAAAGGGAGGCCTTTACAAAAGACTGACAGGGTGACTGTGGCTTCTACAGTGCTGCTCAGCCGGCGTCGGAGATCGTGAAAAATTACCCAGCTCTCTCCTCCCCCCTTTGGATGTTGCCATGGTGGGCAGGGTTGGCGAAAAAAAAACAGCCCAAAAAACAGAAGTGCCCTTTTGTGGCATGGCAGCAGATGCCGTGAGCTAACGAAACGAGGTGCCACTCTTTCCTGCACATCCCTCTGGCTGGAGGTGCCCTCCCTGTCCCGGAAGGTGACCAGTTAGCCAATCGGCTGTGAAATACCCACTGGGTGCCCGAGCCCCGACCCCCAGGGAGAGCACCAGCTGTGTCCCCGATCTCATCACACAGGCACTGCTCTCTGCCTGCGGTGAACCAGGCCTCTTCAGTGCGCAGAAAAAGGAAGTGTTTATTTTTAGTGTTATTTTTAAATCCGATCTCTGACCTTGCACATATATGGTAATTTAGCGTGCGTGGTGTAAAAGATGCAGAAGTTCTCACGGTGGAGCGTGTCGAACTGTCACGTTGTTGAACAGCGCGCTACTGACGCGGTGAGAGCCGCCATGACAACAGCCTGTGGTTCTGAGCTACTGCCCTGAGCTCTTGAGGAGAGATCTGGTGAGGAGAGGGTGCTGGGAACGCCAAAAATAAATGGTCTTTGAAGCTCCTGTGTGGGCCAGGACAGTCTGCGTGGCAGGGGAGACAGCCTTCAGCTGTCCTCTCTGCTGGGAAATTACAAACTCCTCTTCAGGGCTTTGATCT